AGAGATAGATATATATATATATATATATATATATATATATATATATATATATATAATCCTAATAGAATGAGTTTTTGTGGTAAATTAATTACTTTAATCTTCGAACTAGGAATATAGATATTGTCGTTCGGTTTGGATTGAGAGAGGTGGCTTCGATTGCAAGCAAACGCTTATACGGACCAATATCTCTCTTCTCGAACTTCGAACAAATACCGTACGGGTCCTTAAATTCCTCATAATCGAATATTTCCAAAGAATTCATTTTCAAGAAAACATCCATTAAGCATTTTAGAATGCTCTCGGATATTTTATTCGGACTGTCGTCTACGAGCGATATTTCCTTTTTAATAGGGCTTTCCAACTGAAAAAAAAAACCCACGAGAAATCCAAATTAAATTTAATTCTATTTGAAGTATTTTCGCAACGAAAAATAAGTGAAAAGTTAAACAAGCACCCGTGATATTTTCGGAGGCCTTTTTACTGGAGTCGTAACGGTTTGTAATTTCGAATTCGGCAATTGCTGCTTACTCTTCGAGGGCTTCGTACTTGATTGGTTCTCTTTTCCTCTCTTTTCATCTACAATAAAAACGGTATATTAAAAATTTCCCCGGGTTTTCAATTTTATGCATCAATTAAATCGAAGAGAAAATAATAGGAATTACCGGAAATAGAAGGTTTCTTTATAATATCTGCTGCAGAAATTGCATCACTTTGAAGTAACGATAAATCGATATTTTTCTTGGACGATGAAATATGGACGGCTTCTTGATAAAGTCCTTGTCTGAAATGGACGACTTTTTCTTCGAGACGAACGACTTCTTCTTCCAAAACCGCCACCTCAGCAAGAAGCTCGAGTGTCTACACAAAAAAATCGTCGTTTTCGTAAATATTACAATCATTGAACAAACAATCGGAAAAAATAGAATGAGAATTGATCGAAAAATCGAGAATGACCTCGGATGGGAGATACGGAGGGAGACGAGGAAGAGCACCGAGAGGTCTAGTGAAAGCCCTCTCGAGTGCTCGGTGAACGTTTTCTTCGTGTTGGAGTCGTTTTTTCAGCTTATCAACCTAATCATTATTCGAATTATCAATTACATCTACAATTTTCTTCTCAAACACAATGGATAATTAATTGCAAAATTATAGAGAATAGAAAAAAGACGATAAATTACACGAAAACTCACATCTCGTTGCAATGCCGTTTTTCGTTCCCTAATCGAGCTTAGTCGGCTAGTAGTCGGTTTGTTGGCATTCATTGCTCTACTATTGTGCATTCCTTATTTGTCCTTCAAGTAAACAATAAAGAGTTTAAGCAACAATGTAATCAAACTTGAACAAGAAAGGAATTAATTAATCATCTAAAAATCAAAAAAAAAAAAAAAAAAAGGTAAAGCTCACTTGCAAAATGCAAAGCCAATCAGAAGCTAGAATGAGAATAAAAAAGATTCCACAAGAATATTCCCCAACATAGCAAAAACCCATCTCGGATTCTCATTAAAGATGCTTACTTTTTCCCCCAAAAAATTTTTTTTGTAGAAATTCATGATAAAATCAAGAAAAATGCAATTAAAATTAAATTTCAAGAAAAAAAATAATT